ATTTCTTATTTAAATATTTTAAATATTTCATAAACATATTACTTTTTAAATTAGAAAAATCAATAAATATAATAAAAACCTTGGGTCCTCTTAATCTCTCACATATAGAAGTAGAAACAGGAGAATGAGATGGAGAGAGAGGGAGAAAAGTATAAATGTTAGGGAATTAATTAGGACCTCAGTTGGCTTTTGTTTTGACGGCCAGAGATTGCTCAAGTCAATGTCCAGGACTGAAGACTCTGATAGACTTATGCTTATGAAAATATGCTGGGTCCAGGTGGACATATTACAGTGCATTTTTAATTTAACATGGAATACTCTGGACTACTTGCTTTCTCTGTTTCTAGCCATGGGAGATGAACTATAATCCAAGATGCTTTACTAATTTATCACAAAAAATTACTGTCACAAGGAAGGAACTCATCTTAAGCCCATATCTTCTTTTGGATAAAACTAGATGTTAAAAAAAAACATATTAAGCTAAATTATAAACAAAGTTACTTGAAGAAGGGGCATTAGGTGAAGCAAATATTTAATGGACTCATGCTAACACAGGTGATGCACCCTTTTCACACTAGAGATGCTTTGGGTTCTCAAACTTTAGTGTGCATCAAAATGACCTGGAGGGACTGCTAAACCACAGATTTATGGGCCCCAATGTCAGAGTCTGATTTCATTAAGTCTGGGATGAGGGCCTGAGAATTTGCACGTCTCACAAGTTTCCAAATAAGGCTTACGTTGCCTACACGTGAAAACTACTATTAAGGCTTTTCAGCTTAATTCCCTCATTACCAAGTTTTTAGAAGGTAACTTAATAGCCTATAAAAAAATCATGCTCATATATGCACACACACTGATACAGTTTTTTCCTCCTTTGGACTAGATTAGAAAATCCAAAATAATTGGTCTACTAGAATAATTCTTCTTAAGTGTTAGATCACGGAGAAAAAATTTAATTAAGTATTTAATGTGAATTAGCCTATGGGGAGGGTGGTGAAGAGAAGTGTAAGATGTGGATTCTATTTTAATGAAGTTTATAACCTGGTTGGGCTCATAAATTCTTCTGAATGCTTTACAGTTCTCTCTCTTATACGATTATCTGATCCACTCAGAGAAATTAAGTAACTAATTAAAGGTCAAGAAGCAGGTAGCATCAGGTCTGGAATTCATGCCTTCTGATGAGTAGCTCACCAGTCTTTCTAGTCCATTACATTGTTTGCTCAAGCTTCACACAAACTATTTGTATTTGTTTCAAGGCTGTGACCAAAGGATGAAATCACTCCTTTAAAAAACTACTCTCCACTTCTAATGGCATACAGAAAAGGAGATATGACTAACTCTTCTCCCTTTCTTCATTCCTTCCCAAACTGTTCTTGCTTTGCAAGAAAATCTTTGTCACTTTGCTGCTCTCAGATTTCCCGTTTCACATTTTACAGGACAGAGTCCTCAGCTATGGAAAGGGTGGGTATTCTGAGTTGCTTTATTAAGACTAACTAATGGTCTCCTCAAAGGGTACATACTTTGTCTAATTTTCTAAACGCAGTCATAACAAGTCCCTGAGAAATGATTTTCTGACGTTAACATGAAAAATCTGGAAAGGGGAGAGGCAGGCAGGAGATAAGAAAATTAAATAAGCAAAAACCAGACAAAACCTCTTTTATTTGGAGAAATACTGGTGAAAAATATTTTTAAAACATTAGCCAGGAAAAGCTTAGTGAGTATAATGCACAGTTTGTCCACTGCATTTATGATAGGTAAAGTACTATTCTAGGGATGGGGAAGGGAACAGGGTTACAGATAGAAAAAACAGGTTCTCTGTTCAAAGAATTTATAATCTATTGGCTAAGACAGACAATGTACAACTACCAACAAAGTGACACAAAGGTACACAATATGTGTAAGTTCCAGACTTCCATATCTCAACTGCTTATCTGACAGCCAAATGTATTTGGATATCTCATAGTCATCTCAGGGCTTAATAGGCTAAAAAAAAAAAAATCTGAATTGTTAGTTTCCTTTCAAACCTCTTTAATAGTAACTTTCTCCATCTCAGTAAATGGCAGTACTCTCCAACTAGTAATTCAAGCCAGATACCCAGGAGTCAAGTCATCTTTCATTCCTTTCTTTCCCTCAAGTCCCACATCACATTCATCAGTCTTTTTTGACACCCTTCAGTCTATTTCCGCATCTAAAAACCATCATTCTGGGACTTCCCTGGTGGCACAGTGGTTAGGAATCCGCCTGCCAATGCAGGGGACACGGGTTCAAGCCCTGGCCCGGGAAGATCCCACATGCCGCGGAGCAACTAAGCCCGTGCGCCACAACTACTGAGCCTGCACTCTAGAGCCCGTGTGCCGCAACTGCTGAGCCCACGTGCCACAACTACTGAGGCCCGCATGTTCTTGGGTCCATGCTCAACAAGAGAAGCCACTGCAATGAGAAGCCCGCGCACCGCAACAAAGAGTAGCCCCTGCTCGCCGCAACTAGAGAAAGCCCACGCATAGCAAGGAAGACCCAACGCAGCATAAATAAATAAATAAATAAATAAGAACCATCATTCACTCTTCCCCTAATATTATTCTACCACCAGCTTAATCCAAACCACCATCATCTCCTGCTTATGCTGCTGTATTAGAATCCTAACTGTGTGATCTGGTCCCTGAACATTTCTCCAGACTCATCTCATAAAACTGTTCTTTCTGAACATGATCCAGCCACACTGGTCTTTTTTTAGGTTCTTGAACACTAAGATGCCAAGCTCTTTCCTGCTTTAAGGTCTTGGCATAACCTATTCACTCTGGAATGTTCTTCCTTTCTTCTGTTGCATGGCTGTCTTTTAGGTCTCAATTTAACTGTCAACTCCTCAGAGAGGCCTTCTCAGACCAACCCAAATCAAACAAATTCCACTTTACTCTTCTTAAGTCCACCCATAAAAGGTTTAAGTTCCATTAGAACAGGAATCTAGGACTGCCCTGGTGGCATAGTGGTTAAGAATCCGCCTGCCAATGCAGGGGACATGGGTTCGATCCCTGGTCTGGGAAGATCCCACATGCTGCGGAGCAACTAAGCCTGTGCGCCACAACTACTGAGCCCGCGCACCTAGAGCCTGTGCTCCACAACAAGAGAAGCCACCGCAATAAGCCCGTGCACTGCAATGAAGAGTAGCCCCCACTGCCCACAACTGGAGAAAGTCTGCGTGCAGCAACGAACACCCAATGCAACCAAAAATAAAAATAAAATTAAAAAAAAAAAGAAAGAACAGGAATCTCACATCTTGGTCACCATTGTAATCCTAGTACCTAGCAGTTCTTGGAACAGAGAAGGGAGGCATTTAAAAACTATCTGTAGCATGAGTAACTAACTACTGGGTGCTTTGTGACCCAATCTTGCAGGGTTAGGAAAGGCTTCTTAACTTAGAAGGCTTCATAAACGGAGACCCAAGGAATGAGTAAGAATTAGCTGTGTTGGTGATGGGATTTAGAAGAGGTCTGGAGGTGAGGGATAATGGTGCATTTGAGGAACTCAGAAAGACAAGAAGGGCCCTGTGAACCATGTTAAACTCAAACCTGAGGGCAAATAGGAGGGGCTGAAGGAAAGGTTTTTAATGGGGCATGCCAGATCAGATTTGTGCTTTATCAGCCTCCAATGTGGTGTCTGGATTGAAATGTAACAGGATTGAAAGAAAAAGAACCAGCCGGGAGGCTACTGGCATAGTTACGTAGTAGTCGTGCTGAACCAAAGTAATGACAGTAAAAGTGGCGAGAAGTGTATGGATCTGAGATATTCAAGAGGCTGGTATGACTGGCTGGATGTGAGAGATAAGAAAGGCACCTAGAAAACTTTCAAGTTTCCCAAGGGGGAGGGGGAATAGGGGAGAAAAGGATTGCGAGTTTGGGATTAGCAGAGGCAAACTATTATATATAGAATGGATAAACAACAAGGTCCTACTGTACAGCACAGGGAACGATATTCAATATCTTGTGATAATCCATAATGGAAAAGAATATGAAAAAGAATATATGTGTATAACTGAGTCACTGTGCTGTACAGAAGAAATCAACACAACATTGTAAATCAACTATACTTGAATAAAATTTTTTTTTTTAAAAAGTAAACTTTCAAGTTTCTGGTTTGAGCACACTGCTCAGTTAAGCTCTTTCCCTCTGGGTCGTCAAAGCAGTTTGGAAAAGCCAGCTGCCTACTTATCTCCGAGCACCTCAAAAGTCGCAAGTAGCACCTTTTCCTCCCTGTATGTCCGGTTCCAGACGCTCACCCGTGTCCACCTGATGGCACATACAAAAGCTAGCTGAGTGACTGCAGCAGCACCGTCTCAAATTAAAATAATTGACCTTCTTACTCTTTTACGCTCATAACCGCCCTTTTCTAGAAGAGACTGACTCCTGAAAAAACAACATAGAATGCACTGAGTCTCACTCAGAACGACGTTAAGGGTCTCGTTAGGAGTCTCCGGCCCTTGCTCCCCGAGAACCTCCTCTCCCAGCTCCTCACCTGAGGCACAGGACGGGGATCCTTGCCCGGGCGAAGCACAGTGACGCAGATCCACAAGACTCAGCGGAAAACGAGCGCCCTCCAATCGAATCTCCCGCGCTTCCTTCCGCCGGAAGTGACGCTATAGCCGTCCTTCCTCAGAGCCAATCAGAAGAAGGAGTCGCCGATGGTGGAGATTTAGCACAACAGCCTGTGAGCTTTTGCGGATGACCGTTTTTGTCAGACAGGGTTTGACGAAGGTTCTTTACCGACTGGGGGAGCACTAGTACAGTCTGTAAAGTTGGTTTTCGGGTAGCGTTGAGCCAGCTGGGCGTAGGGACCCCAGGAAGGGGTGGGGGTGGGCGGGAGCGCCCCTTGGACCGGGGTTCAGCGGGCTGACTGGAAGGAGAAGCGGACGTGGGTGCTGGGGGAGCCGCGAAGACAAAAGGGGCCTCTGCCGGCTAGGGATGGCACTGCCGGGGGGCGGGGGGAGGGGAAGGCGGGGCTTGAAGCGGTTGCGGGTTGCCGGAAGAAGAAAGGAGGCGTAACGTGGAAGAAGGGCCCTGTATCTAGTGGGATTCCCGGGCGACCTCCGTTGTCGGTGAGGGATGGCCTGTGTGGGCTACACGGAGGTTTGGGGTGACCCACCAACAGAGTACCATAGGAGGTGGTTAGGCTGACATCATGGAGGTGGGGTGCAAAGGAGCCACACTCAGCGGTCTGCGAAGCCAGTGCTCCACCGCCTCCTGAGTGACCTAGTGCAAGTACCAGCACCTCTCGAGTTTCCTCAGTTTCCTCAGCTATAAATGGGAATAACAATCATACAGGACCCACAAAATAGGTGGGATGGTTGAGTTAGATGAGATGGTGTGCCACTAAGCCTAGTGCTGTAGTGAACCATCAATATATTGTCATGGTACTGCCCACTGGGAAAAAAAGAAAAAGCACACAGTGAGAGTTGTGAGTTAACTTTTATTGGGGACAAAATGAGGACTAGAGCCCGAGAGACAGCATCTCAGATAGCTCTGTGGAGCTGCTCCAAAGAGGTAGGGGGGAAGGTCAGTGTTACATATGATTTTAGTGAAAGGGGGTATGCACAGTCAAGCACACATTTTGGCAGAGGCTAGCTGCTAGTCACAAGGAGCAGATGTCACCATTGATGATCTTAGTGCTTTTCTAGATATGAGAAGATGCAAGAATTTGGGCTCATAAAACCTCCTGAAACTATATCTGAAAGGCCTGACCTGCCAGTTTTTCCCAGAGCACAGAGTGCCTCATTCCTGATCACCCTGAACTCCTTTTAGGGTGTGTTGAAGGTCAAGGCTGCAGTGGCTAGTGACTTAATCCTTGTAGAGGCTGATGGCAAGTACCAATTTTTAGTTGGCTATAGTATTATCGATATTATTACTATTATATGGAATTTGTGGAGGACAAGGCTGTGGCAATGGAATTAGAGTGCGACCGGAATAAAGGTGGACTCTAAAGAGGGGATGGTACAAGAGAGAAGTAAAATCTGGTGGCACCTTCTGGGACGGGGACGGGGTCTGTATGGCTTGGGCGACCCGGGTTTGTGCGGAGTTGCTGAGGGGCGGGGTGTGGCTTTGGGTTTCCCCCGGGGAGGAGGAGCTTGTCTGCCGCGGGCGGAGCTGCGGGCGGGCCCGGCTCGGGCTGCGCGCATCTGCCAGTCTCCCTTTTACCCTCTCTGCAGCAGCCAGCCTGAGCCATGGGGCGTCGCTCCCTCCTGCTCCTGCTCCTGGCTTTCCTGACTCCTGGGGCCGCCACACCCGTACCGCCGGCCCTGAGGGCCCTCAGCAGCCTGCACTTGTCAACCAGCTTCAGATCCCGTCCCGCTGTTGCCATGAAGTACTCGATTCACTACATCCAACAGAAGGTAAGGGGGAAGGGGTTTGGGGTGGCGGAGCGGGTGGCGAGGACTGGCTTCGTGGTTCCCAGGCACCAGAGCTCACCTGAAATTTCGGACCCCTAATGCCTAGGACTTGTCTGAACTTTGGCTTACACTTTACAGATGGTGGCCCCAGGTCCCCAGTCTGTTTAAATTCTGTCCTCCCATTACCAATGATTTATTATCAGTTCTGGCTCTACACTCTCTTCTGTGATTGGCCACAGCAGTGACTCCAACGCCTTCTGCTTCCAGAGGCTACCCTAATGAAAACTCCTTTGGCCTCCCGCCAAATTCAAATTATTTAATCCCAACTCTGGCACCTACTTCAAGGTGACAGTCATCCTTTGTCCCAAAGCAGCCCCTAAATTCAAACTTCCAATATCTTATTAGATAATATCTAGTATTTATTCAACCTAAATTACCAGCCTGTTGTCTCATGTTCAGCTCAGAGTTGATTTTGTAGACCTTTTTAAATTTTTTTATTTTTTAAAAATAATTAATTATTTTATTTTTGGCTGTGTTGAGTCTTCGTTGCTGCATGCGGGCTCTCTCTAGTGATGGCGAGCGGGGGCTACTCTTTGTTGTGGTGCGCGGGCGTCTCATTTCGGTGGCTTCTCTTGTTGTGGAGCATGGGCTCTAGGTGCGCGGGCTTCAGTAGTTGTGGCACGTGGGCTCAGTATTTGTGGCTCGCGGGCTCTAGAGCGCAGGCTCAGTAGCTGTGGCACACGGGCTTAGTTGCTTTGCGGCATGTGGGATCTTCGCGGACCGGGGCTCGAACCCGTGTCCCCAGTGTTGGCAGGCGGATTCTCAACCACTGCGCCACCAGGGAAGCCCCGTGTAGCCCTTTTATTAAGAGTTTTTAACCTTCCCTGTTCTCCGTGAAACTGAACATATATGTAGCTCACACTTGTAAAAGAAGTTGTAGGATTTTCTCAAGATTTGGGGAGGGGGGTGGGGGTGAGCATCTCTATAGTTCTGAAGCCTGAGTTTAGGGGTTTAAGGTAGGCATAATGCCTTTGTGCTTGGCTGAAGCATGAGGTAGGTATTCCCTGAGAAGCCTGGATGAAGAAGTACATCCTGTGTGAAATGACAGGATCCCTTACAGTTCTGTATTTCTGGGAGCCTGTGAAAAGATAGGCAAAGATTTGGGAAAGGTTGGGATTAGAAGTGCAAGAGTCTGAGGTTTGGCTTTAGGAGTCAAATAGACCAGGATTCCAATCTACTACCTCTGTGACCTTGGGAAGTTTCAAGTACTTCTCTGTGCCCAATTTCTAGATCTCCAGAGGATTTGGTGATGGTTAAATGAGAGCAGATCACATGTCCCTAGCAGAGTATCTGGCCTCAAGTAGGCACTTATTAAACTCATGGTTACTGACCTATGAATTCTGAATAGGAATTTGAGATAGAGGGATGGTGTGAACTTATAGAATAATTTGTAAGAAATTGTTTTTAACCCAGAAATTTAGAGATTATGAGGAAGAGAAAGCATTCTAGTTTTAGCAGGAGTACTAGGAAACAGGGGTCTTTTTCTTAGGCAACTCTCTAGGCTACAGTTTCCTCATTTGTAAATTGAGAGATCTGGACAAGGACCAGTGTGTTTCACATTTTACTGAGGAAAATTAAGGGCTCTTTATGGAGCTGTCTCAAAGGGATGGGGAAGGCCCAAGTGGAATCCAAGTTAGGGTACCCCAGAACTCCCTCTCTCCCTGACCTCTTTCAGCCTGAACTTTATGTTTTTATCTGTTTTATATACTGGGATATTGCAGAGTTCCATAATTAAAGTGAAATTGAAGGGGAACTATTGGAATGAAGATCTCTACAATCCTTTTAGGAATGATGAGAGAGAACTATCAGCAGAAAAGCGGGGTAGGGAATGAAAGGGTAGAAGAGACTGAATGATCTCTTAGGTCCTAATTTATATTCCTTCACTGTGGATTCCTTTCTTGACCACTTCACTCTTTAGATATATAAGTTGAGGCCAGTTCTTTTTCCATTTTTGGTGATTTATAAGATCTGGCCTTAGCCATGTTTTGCCCTCTGGTTTATATTTAGTTCATATTTTAGGACACAGATTCTACAAATGTTTTATTACCATGATAATTTTCTTTACATCAACTCCAATTGAGTTTTATTTCATTTTTTTGAGAAAAACTTTCACATATGTATTTGTTGCATAATAATGGTTTTATAGTAATTGCCAACTTTTCTGGACCATAGATTTTTAGTTGGGACTGAAAAGTATGTGTAAACTCAACTTTAATTTTTTTAGTTAGAGCACATGAAATACTTTTATGCCTTTTAATAATAAACAATTATTATTATAACTAAGGTTTAGTTTTTTTATTTTTATTTTTTTTTGCGGTATGCAGGCCTCTCACTGTTGTGGCCTCTCCCGTTGCGGAGCACAGGCTCCGGACGCGCAGGCTCAGTGGCCATGGCTCACGGGCCCAGCTGCTCTGCGGCATGTGGGAACTTCCCGGACCGGGGCATGAACCCGTGTCCCCTGCATTGGCAGGCGGACTCTCAACCCCTGCGCCACCAGGGAAGCCCCTAAGGTGTAGTTTTTATTCAAGGTTTAATTTTCATCAAACATTAAAATAATTTTATTTATCTGTGGTTATATCTGTCCAGCTGACCAAGTGATTCCCAGCTGTCCTTATATGCACATAAGCTCCATGAATGGTCTTGGTAAAACAGCTGAGCCCTCCTTCATAACTCTGATTACTTGCAGAATGAAGGGCCAAGTCCTTGGTATTGTTCCTCATTTCATAACCCCAGCTGGTCTTTCAGCTTCATATCCTGCCATAGGCCCCTGCCTCCCCGCGCCTTCCCTGTACACATATACTTTTAGCAACATAGAACATAGAATTGAACTTGACTGTGTCAGAAATTGTGTCTGGAATACCATCCCTCTTCTCCGCTAGTTAAACTCATACCTCTATCCCAGCTGAAATGTCACCTCTTCTGTCTGAAATACCATCCGTCTTCTCTGCTAGTTAAACTCATACCTCTATCCCAGCTGAAATGTCAACTTTCTTGACTTTAGTTGGTCTTTTTTCACATGTACTATTTTGTATGTGTCTCCTCAGCTAGATAGCACTGTCCAGTACCCAGAAGAGCCCATAAAAATATAAAGTACAAAATAAATATTTGTTGAGGGAGTGAATGGATGACTATCCAATGAAAACCCAAACAAAGCAAAGTCTACCATTATTTAATTGACACAAATCATTTTTTGTTTATTTTTCTTTTTATCTTTTAATTCTGTTCTTTACCAATTATATTTTCTTTTCTTTCAGCGTCTTCAAATGTTGTTGATTTAGTAGGAATATTTGATATCTTTTATCCAAAATAACTGAATCAGGAGACCAGACAAAGGATAAGCACATCACTCGGGCACATCAAGACTCTGGGTACATGTGTGATGCCAGTGTTGTAAAAGGCTCCTTGGGATGCATGGCTTGTGGTTATGAGGTTTCCCTGCTCTTCATTACCCTCCTACTCCCACCCGAGCCCCTCTGACTGGAATGTGAATCCTGAGGGCATTTTACTATGTGATGTAGTGAGGAAGGAGAATGAGTCCTTTCAGGCTGTCATTTTCCTCACTGGTGAAAGTAGAAATCAGTGTTTACTGAATTAGTCAGGGTTCTCTAGAGAAACAGAATCAATAGGATGTGTCTGTGTGTGTGTGTGTGTGTGTGTGTGTGTGTGTTTATTTATGTATATCTTTCTCCACAGAGAGAGATTGATTAATTTTAAGAACTTGGTTCATATGATTGGTGAGCCTTGTAAGTCCAAAATCTGCAGGGTTGGCCAGTGCGCTGGAGACCCAGGGAAGAGTTGCAGTTTGAATCCAAAGGCAGTCAATTTGCATAATTCCTTGCTCAGGAGAGGTCAGTCTTTTTTTTTTTTTTTTTGGCGGTACGCGGGCCTCTCACTGTTGTGGCCTCTCCCGTTGCAGAGCACAGGCTCCGGACGCGCAGGCTCTGGACACGCAGGCTCAGCGGCCATGGCTCACGGGCCCAGCCGCTCCGTGGCATGTGGGATCTTCCCGGACCGGGGCACAAACCCGTGTCCCCTGCATTGGCAGGCGGACTCTCAACCACTGTGCCACCAGGGAAGCCCCAGTCTTTTTTACTATTTGGGCCTTCACCTGACTGGATGAGACCCACCCACGTTATGAAGGGTGAAGCTGCTATACTCGAAGTCCACTGATTTAAATGTTAATCCCATCCAAAAAACATCTTCACAGAAACATCTAGAATGTTTGACTATTTTGGACACCATGGCTCAGCTGAGTTGACATGTAAAATTCACCATTACATCTACCAAGGTTGTTGTGAGGGTTAAATATGGTAATTCAGGAAAGCACATGCATGGTGCCTGGAACATTAGGAAATTAAGGAACTTAATAGAGTAAATGCTGGTTCCTCCCCTGCTCTCTCTTAAAACCACACTCTCTGTAGTGCTATACCTTTCAGGTTGATCCAGATGCTGACAGTTGTGGTAATGTCTGTTCTAGAAACCTAGTGGTCAGTCATCTACACTCAACTGTTCTTACTTAACTACTGAGCAGTGTTTATGTGAGAGCTCTGCATCTTGGCCCAGCATTGAACTCATGGCTGCTGACTCCTGCAGGGCCTTCCCACAGCTCCTTCCTTATCTACTGTGAGACCATCACAGTGGACTAAGCTATTTTGATTTATGTATGTCCCTTACAGTTCTACTTTCAATTCCTTTTCTGGGTTTCCCTTTCTTGTCATGGTGGCCCTGATGTCTAGTAAAACGGAGCTGTGTCAGGCCTCTTGGAAGGGCCTATTGCTTTTTCTCCTCCTCGTCCTCTTTTCATTTTTCCCTTCTTCTCTTTTTCTTATTGGTTCATCTGTTGATGGCCTTCCCCTGAGGCCTGGAGCATACCGTCACAAATATTATGTGAATTCTGAACTGATTTCTGTTTTTGCTCACAGAATCATTGTCAGAAGGGGTCA